CGGGAAGGAGCTGGAGGTGAGCTGGTGCTGCGGGAGTAGGGGGAGCGCCTGCAGCGGGACGGGTGGTGTGGATGTCAGTGCTTCCTGCCCTGCTGCGGGATGCCCCGGGTGGGCGTGAGGAACGGCACGAGGAGACGGAGAGCACCTGCCTCGGCCCCGCTCGCAGGGGTACCCCTGCCCGAGGTGGCAGCACCTGTGTGGTGCCCCCTCGTTGGGTCCGCTGCAAAGATCCCGTCCAGAGATGGGGGAGTCCTCCTGGACACCTCCGAACACTTGGTGCGGAGGTGCACCTCTGCGCCTGTCGCAGCCCTACGCCGAAGGACTCGGTGCCCCCGCACGCCTAGATGTAGCCCAAAGCGTGGGTGCGAGGTCGTGTTTGTCTCACCTGCTGGCTGTCTGCTGTCCCCTAGCTGATGCTCTGCGGCATGCAGGAGATCGACATGAACGACTGGCAGAAGAACACCATCTACCGGCATTACACCAAGCACAGCAAGCAGATCCAGTGGTTCTGGCAGGTGAGCCCAGGCCGGCGGCGCCGCCGCCACCTCCGTGTCCCACGCTCTGGTGCGGAGGAGCGTCCCCTCTCCCAAGGCTTGCGGCAGGCAGGGGCGGCCTGGCTAAGCCGCCTCGGGGGCTGTCAGGAAGACTGAAACGTAACTGGGAACACGTGTTCAGCAAGAAACACTTGGCTGTAGCTGCCGAGGACAGCAGGCAGCACTTAGCGGTCAGCGTGTTTCTAGCAATAGCCGCTGCTCTTGGGCGGGCAGGACACGAGAGGGTGACAAGTAATAAAGCTGTGTCAGTTCAGGTGATTCTGCTCCGTGGCCAGCCAAGAGAGAGGGGTCAGAAAATAGCCCTTGATAGCCTCGACGCAGGGCAGAGCCTGGGTTGCAGCATCCTCCCGCCGGGCGCTGAGGCCTGCCGGGATGCGCTCCTCTCCCTGAGGATCCCGGGGCTGGAGCTCCGGCTGGTTTAACAGACCGAGAGCGAGTCAGGCTCAGGTCTTCGGGAGCGCGGGGGCTGCAGGGGATCCTGCTTTACTGCGGCACTGTCACCGCAGGTGGTTAAAGAGATGGACAACGAGAAGCGGATCCGGCTGTTGCAGTTCGTGACGGGGACCTGCCGCCTGCCTGTCGGAGGGTTTGCGGAGCTCATCGGTGTGTATTCCCGGCTCCCGGCACGCCGGTCGGGGAAGCGAGCTGGGGAGAGCTGAAGCGCTCTGGGGTTGGTACGTGGGAGCTGATGTTCCGTGTTCCCGCCGCAGATCTCGCGGCAGTTCACAGTAAGTGAAGCAGCTGGGACGTTAGAGCACAGAGCAGGGGCATGCAGCGATTCAGACACGTTCCCTAGACATGAACTACGTCACCACAGTTCTCTTTGAGTCCGGTTTGTGATCTCATTTTGAATGAGATATGATTTTGATTTAATTTTGGTATGTGTGTGACGAAACCCACTTTCCAGAGAACCACACTGCGTGTCATTATTCAAGCGCCTGCCCTTTAATTTGCTGCTTTTTGGGTTCTCTGTACCAGCCTTTCCGTTATTTTCCTGGAATCAATGTGAAGCTGAGCAACTAACTTAGCCCGTTAGTTTCTTCTTATTGGCACATTAGCTTTTTTCCAGTCCTCTGGAACTTCTCTAAGCGTTCACAATTTGTTAAAAAGCAGCGTCTGTGACTCAGAGTTCCTGAGCCAGTTCTTTTAAAACTCTTGCGTGGACTTGCTTGGTGCGGCAGATCTACGGATAATACGTTTTAGCACTTGCCATTTAACATCCTGCTCAGAAGATACGCTGTTAGCACGGTGTGCTGTGAACATACTTTTTCAGCTTTAAAAAAAATTTTTTTGTACATCCTCTCTGCAAAAGGGGTCAGAACAGGCGGTGTGTAAGAGTATTGGTAATGGTTTGTGCCCTAGTGCCTCTGTAGGGGATCGGAGGGGCGCGTGACAGTGAGATCTGCTGGCTAACTGCGTCAGATAACCAGGAGGGGAGAAAGACCACTTTGTGTAATGAGATTTGCTGTGCTCATAATTAACAGGCAGCAACGGGCCCCAGAAGTTCTGCATTGATAAAGTCGGCAAAGAGACTTGGCTGCCCCGGAGCCATACGTGGTAAGTCTGGTTCTCCTTGGCCCGTTCGGAGCGCACGGGGACAGAAACGAAGGGTCTCCGCCAGGCTGCGGGGGCCCGGGGCGGCCCTCCGTCCCCTCCGCCAGGGCTTGGCAGGGGATGCAGCCGCGCCCCTGGGAGCCGAGGCCCGGCGGGG